TAATTACTAATATTTTTAATTTCTATTTTAATCGTGATTGATATTTTGAGTTATTTATTTTTAGTAAGTTAGTTTTTCAATTTTGGTCAAATTGATCCTTATAAAGATTTTCCTTTTATTGATTTCTTTATTTACAGATGTCGAAATTTTGATTTATCTATTTTACCTTCAAATTTTTCAACCGGTACGAATCAATGACGCGCACTGTATATATATAGACATCATCAAATAAATAAATAATAAATCTCCATTTTATTTTTAATTTCATAGAAAATTTTAATACTTTAAAATTAAAATTAAATTTATTATAAAAACTGTACGTTTGTTTTTCTCTTAAGAAAAAAAGATAGGTTAAGGATTTACAAAATGTAAACATTGCTCATAAATATTTCATCAATTATTTCGATTGAAGAAATACATACTAATTATTATTTTAATCATTATTTAGATCAGTGTGATAGAATGTGATATGAGAATTATCATTCTTAATAAATTATTTAATGGTAATGGATATCTTTTAAGCCTAAAGTTGACGCATGCGCAGTGCGAATATTTAGAATACAAATATTCGAGTAATTAAAAATAATTAATTAAGTAAAAAATAAACAAAGTGAAATGAGAACAAACGTTTTTCATACATGAACAATCATAAACAGAGGTTTATTGACCCGTATTGCTAAAAAAATATTAATAAATGCGATAGGGGGGCTAACTTTAGGGCAAATATTTGAAAGATTTTTTTTTAAATAAATAAATCGAGAACAAACGAATGTTTATAGCGAACAATAAAGAACAAATAACGAACTAACGATGTAATAAAAAAAAAGTTAAAAAATAAAAAAAAAATTTTTTTGGGGGGCTAACTTTAGTGAGCTCTTAAGGTCTTAAAACTTTCGAATTAATACAACAAACGACATCTGCCGGTGACAGACAGGTGTAAGGTATTCACTACATAGTAAGTCAAAGAAATGCATGGTAGCGTTTTGAGCGTTCAATTTTTCGGCCTAGGGTAACTAGTTACCCCAGTGTGGCCGTAACCGTAGTTCAATAAAAAATTTTTTTTTGGTTTTAATCGACTTATTGTAGTGTCAATCACCGTAACCAATTTGGCGCCGAATATTAATTTTTTTTCAAAAACTAAATGACAAAAAATTGCTCATGAATTGCTCTTCTGATATAAACAATTGCTCCGCTGCTATAATTAATAATTAATTAATTAATCGTAATTAAAAAATCAAAATTTAATTCCCGATTATCTCTAATTGTGAGGACTAATGTTAATTGTAATAAGTGCCAAAAAATTGCTCATCCTTTTTTCTATTGGGAATGATAGTTATTTTGTGCGTAAAATCGTTTTTAATTAATTAATACTATAAATAATTATATGGCACCTTTAAACCTGCAAATGACAATTGTGACGTCATCGTCGCGACAATTTGAAAGTATACAGTAAATTTTCTTTTATGAAATATCTTATACTAATAAAGAAAGTCAGTTTTGTTTGTCCTATTTAATATTGACTCGGAAAAGGTCCGCATGTTAAAAAAATATTAGTAACTAATTTTACAAATTGCTAATTAAATAATTAACTTTTTTAGGATTATTTGTGTATGAATTCAAAAAAAATAATTTTATCTATACAGGTCAATTCTTTATTTTTATTTCATTTCATTATAATTTAGTTTTAAAAATATAATAGATATTATCAAATTAAGGGGTTATGTCCACTTGTAAGTTCGAAAAAATGTGTTTTTTTGTTTATTTTTTCTGGAGAGGCTTTTAATTGAATACTAAGTATTAAATATTTTTTAGTACTAAATACTAAATACTAATTTAAGTACTAAATATTAAATATTTTTTGAGAGGCTTTTAATTAAATATTAAGTATATATGTACATAAAATATATATATTCCTCACCGACTTTGAAAACATCGTTTCGAGAAAAACGCATTATTATTTAAACTACTTTCAAACGCTCGGAGACGTCTTTACAAATACGCTCATTACTCCGAAACTATTTACCGGATTACTTTGAAATTTACAGACAATATTCTCGAATATATATATATATATATATATTTAAAATATGCAAAGAAATTTCGATTTTTTCAAAATTACAAGTGAATATAACCCCTTAAAACATAAAATAATAATGAAATTTTAATATTAGTTGATTTAGAATTACAAGGGTTAGGTTTTGAAACCAAGTCATCAATTTTTACATAAAGCTACATAATGACCGACTTTATTCAAATATACTGGTGGGACAAACTCTACTACACCAAATAATAAGTAATTTTTGTCAAGTATCTTTAATTTTGTTGGAATACTACTTAAGTTCTCGGTTAAACGTTGATTATTATGAAGTTTTGAGAGAAATCGAAGGTATATAAAAATGACTTATGTCTAAGCTTAAAAATACATTAGTAAAAGTAGATTTTTGGACAGAGTTTTGTGAACACGACCTGCAGTAAAGGGATGATTCTACTTTTAATGCATCTGAAACACTGTCCTGTAATTCAATAATCCAATAATTTCAGCATCATAAAAATAATTATTATTTCATAATTAAACATTGAGCCTAAATAGAATAACCATAAAAAGTTTGTTTACATGGACATATACGCATGTAACACTTAATACATCACTATAGCTTGTCCTCATAAGAACGACAATCAAATTGTCGCGACGATGACGTTACAATTGTCATTCGCAGGTTTAAAGGTGCAATATAATTATTTATAGTATTAATTAATTAAAAACGATTTAACGCACAAAATAACTATCATTCCCAATAGAAAAAAGGATGAGCAATTTTTTGGCACTTATTACAATTAACATTAGTCCTCACAATTAGAGATAATCGGGAATTAAATTTTGATTTTTTAATTACGATTAATTAATTAATTATTAATTATAGCAGCGGAGCAATTGTTTATATCGGAGGAGCAATTCATGAGCAATTTTTTGGCATTTAGTTTTTGAAAAAAAATTAATATTCGGCGCCAAATTGGTTACGGTCTTAGAAATAATTAAATTATTTCTTAGAAATAAGTAAATTATACGTATAATTAATGGCTCAAAAAAAAAAAAGCCATTCTTAACACAAGTCGGTAACATCTTGAATCAATGTTATCGCCTATCTTGAACCAAGAGACAAAAATTCTTGAAAGAAATATATCTATATCTAGTTTCAAGAGTTCAAGTTTTGAAGAAAAAAAGTTTCTTGAATCAAGATTGTTTTTTTATCAGTATGTACGTTTTCTTTTTGTGCTTTAAAAACTGCATCAAATGCTTTTTTAAAAATGAAAATCGAACGACGCATTCAAAAGTTACAGTAGTGTAATAAATACATTTTGAACTCAAATAGCTCAAAATGTGAAAAACGGTGTGCTTTGAGTTTGAAAAGCTCAAATATTAACCAAAAAATACATTTTAAGGCGCTTCAAATTTAAACTTAGCGGGAAGTTCTAGGGTTGGCCTGCGCGGTCAACCGATTTCCAGATTTTTTTAAAATATAATAGACCTTGGGTTTTTAATTTTCGCTACATGAAATAAAAATATATACTCAATTTTTTGTGTAATTTTAAAAACATTTGTGGTACAATTTTAATAAGGGCCAGTTTTTCAATCCGAGATAAAATTTTATCCAGGATGAAATTATTATTGTCAGTATATTTATATATATGAAATATATAGATATATTTTATCATTGGATAAAATTTTATTCTGGATTGAAAAACTGGCCCTAAATGAAATCCGATGATAAATGACTGTATCAGCGAACGACTAGCGACTGCATGAGACTTTGCATAGTTCATATTCAAATTCAACAGTTGATTGAAGTTGTTATTTAAAAGTTTGTGATGCATATGTTATTTTGATAGGACCAAATAAATTCGGAAACTGATTATAAAACGAAAAGCAATTTTTTATTGAAACGACTTAACAGATAAATAATAAAGATTACATTTTTGATACTGATACAAAAAAAGTTTGTTATTAATATATGTATAACCTTATTTTTTTTTATTTTCATCGTATGATATTTTACAAGAAAAGGAAATAAAACAATAAAATTGTACTAATGAGCAATACTAACCTTCAGAAAATTATTACTTATCATTGAAAATGGCATTCTTCAAATTTATGGTGAAATCATCAAGATTAGAAAAATCAAAAAATTTTTATTTTCAGGAAAAAATTAACTCAATATCTATAAAGGAAGTTAAAAAAACTCACCATAATTTTCTGCAGAAAATTAAAATTTATCATCTCATGTATGTATATTATTGAAATCTTCATTTCGTTTCATTATAAAAATATTGATATGCTAATAACAATATAGATCTAATAATGCAATTTATAAGAAACTGCAGAAGTCTGTGAGCAATTTAGCAATCTTATTAAGTTTTGTTATTTCGATTATATCATCAAATGGCACTTTTGAAAACAAAATTTTCAAAAGCATTGTTGGTTTTCTAAGTGGAATATTACTAACTTTCACTTTTTTATGCTTCCTCGTTTATTCGAAGTTTACTCTATCTTCTGCGACTTTCTTCTGCTCATTATCAGGAATAGTATTGACAATCAGTTTAGCTTTTTCTTATCGAATCAGGTAATCGAGAAAAATTATAATTTATAATTTTCTTAATAGTAAAACTAAAATGCTTTCATTCTTCAGATGCATCACTTTATTACTATTTTTCCAATGTTTTTCTAAACGTGGACGCCAAGCATTGATAGCTTATGCTTTTGTTCTCATGTTAGTTGGTCCAACAAGCAATACACTTCATAACGTTCAAGTATTATCAGAGCTTTTGTCCTGTGGACAGGTAGTTAATGATATAACTAAGTTTAATTTTTTTTTTTGAATATTTTACAACCTTTTGAGTTTATAGGAAGAATTGAAACAAATGATTGAAACTTTCACAAATCTCACTATACAACCCTACTTAGCATTTCAGCATTCTATTATGCAAATTGTCAAAGTTATCAGCAATGTAATGGATAATATTAAAAACATTTTATACACAATAAATCAATGTTTTCTCAGTCTTTGTAAGTATTATCAGTCATAAATTGCATATTGTTTTACGGTTTTATGTTTTATAGATTCAGTAATAAAGTCAGTTTACGATTGGCTCATAAGCATTGTTAACCTTTGCAATAAAAAGTTCGGAACACCGTATGAGAAATGTCAAAATGTTTTTAACATTGCTATAGCTGATTGTAAAGCAAAACTTGGACCAATATTTAAACCTTTCTGTGAAATAGCAAATACTGCACAAAATTTATGTTATACAATAAAACCTTTGGACTTCGTATGTCTCTTGACTTCTCTAATTAAAAATATGATCTTAGATACTGTTCAAAAAAGTATGAATTCAATATTATTTGTTATAGTAGCTTTTTATTACTTTAATAGTGTAAAAAATTACTCGGCTATTTTTTATAGACATCAAAAGTTTTATGTATCAACTAAGAACAATGTTTTACGTTAAAATCAATTTTTCACATTTTTTAAATTTTGAAACTCACAAAAATAATCAGTATCACAATATAGTGATATATATCTTAAAAGATATCAAATCTCAAATTAGTAGGTTTTTGGTAGTGTTTAACTCAATGAGTTTCGTAACAAGTTTCTTTTTCTTATGTGTTCTACTGAGGTGAGAATTCCCTGGATCCAGTTAATGTTAATGAATTACGTTTATTAATAGTTTTTTTTTTCATCCATTTCAGAGTTATTAATTATAGATACAAGTGGTTAACAAAAGATTCTTTTGACAATAAATATCTTACTAATCATTTTTATGATATTGATTTAATTAGAAGACGAAAAAGAAAAGAAATAGTATTGCCACTAAGTAGAAGAGAAAAAAAGAAATATATAAAGTTATTGTCAACAAGATTGATTACTCAAGAGAAAATTCAAATGGCTAAATCGACAATTTTTTTAGGGATAGTAACTATCAAATTTTGCATTAATTTATTTGTTGATCATAGTCTTTTCTGGATTTTAAGTACCATCAATTACTATGGTCGATTTTCAATGAAAACTTTGCAAAGTAACATTATTGGATTTCACATTGTTGGCAATAAATACATCGCTGATATCTATCGAAATATATCTAAAATTTTCTTACGATTTCAAAATGATAACAGAAACTCAACATTTCTTTGTCTTTCGGATCCGTCATCACCAAATTATAACCAATATATAACCATTGCAATTATAATTAGTTTTTGCTGGCTGTTGGCTCTCTTTGAGCCATATGGTAGAAGATTTAGTCAAACGGTCATGAGTTATTATTATCCTGAAAGAGCAAGACATCGAACAGTTTGGTTATACAATCATATTCTTCGGTAGTGTAAAAAATTAACTCAAAAACTTTAATTGTTTTATGTTTAATATTAATAAATTATTGTAGAATCCGAGAAAATTTTTTAAAATTTGTAAGACGTAAGCTGCTTTGCCAGCGTGGACTAAAATACATCAGAAATGGTGAATCTAGCACATCCTATAAGAACTTTTTTTCGAAGTACCCAATTCTGAAATATTGTTTTAAGAAACGAAAGATGTGTCTGATATGTGGAACTATTGAGAATAAAACAAACTTCAATCACATCAAATGTATTACACCTAATTGTAATGGACTATTTTGTACGTCGTGTTTTGCCGATCTCAATAATTATTGCCCTATTTGTACAGAACCCATTGAATATGATGATTTGTCGGATATAAGTGAAGAAAAATTATAGAAATTATTTCCTCTATTAGATTATTCAACTATCAACAAAAATTTTTATATCCCAAGACAACATAACTTCTTACTATAATACAATAAATTACACATACTAGAATTAGATTTGATTAAAATTTAATATTATCATAAATTTGCAGAAATTATTTTGTAATGACAGCAGTGTTATATCCAATCATATAATGGATGTCGTCGTTGATGCATTACGAGGCAAATTTCCTATAATTCGAAAAATAGATAAAAAATAATTAAAAATAAAATGTATGTAAAATTCTTAGTTCTTTGATTAAATAACTACATGTAAAGTTTAATTTTGGAAACCTTATAATGACTTTTGTCTTGCTGCTAAAGAGACGATTGTTGTAAGGAAATTTTTAGTAAATGTTATTGAAGTTTAATGGACATGTCCTAAATTTCATGTTTCAAGAAATGCTAGCTTATAAAAAAAAAAAAAACATTTTTTTACATTCTACTCACCACTCTGACATAACCTGCATATGAAGTCAATTATCGCGAAATTCGTTTTAGCCGATATCTAATTATTAAAAAGCAAAAATATTTAAATCAGTTGACCCTGGAGGCAAACATAAATTCATTTGTTGAAGTAAGTTGTTATAAATTATAAAATAGTTGTGTATGGGTTATTTGTGTAATATTAGAACGGGTTATATGAGATAAAGAGTGTTAATAGTGTACGATATTGGCAGTCCGGTGGATTGATAGGTTTTAGTTAGTTTTAGGACTTAGGATTTAATTTATTTTAAGAATTTGCGATGTGTTTACAAAAATATTGGGTTCCGTTGTTCCTGTAGTAGATCTCCTAGAGGACCTCCACAAAAAGGTATCTGGCGGTGAGGAAGATATCTCTGATCCAAATTATCAGAAATAAAAAAAAACAAAAGATTTATTTTTAGGATATATGAATACAGGTAATAATCGATGGAATAGTCAAAATTTTGATTTTTGACAAAATGGCGACTTCCCAAAGAAAAAAATCGTTTTTTTTTCAAGAAAATTAACAGTTTAAAGTGGCTTAAAAAATCGAGATTATTACTTGAAACCTTATTCATTCGATTATTACCTGATACAAGTATCTAAGAAGATCGTGTGAAAATTTCAAGCCGATCGGTCCAACCGTTTCGGAGAAATGTTCCTCACCGACTTTGAAAACACAGTTTCGAGAAAAATGCGTTTGAAGTTTTGGGAACCATTTAAACTAAGTTAAAAAATCTTTACAAATACGCTAATTCCTCCGAAATTATTTGCCGGATCAATGTGAAATTTTCGAACGATACCCTGGCGGTTTCGGCAACACGGTGAAAGCACAGTCGATTGACGGTTGTTTCACGGTCGTTACACAGTCGTTTCACCGTATGAAGTCCGTTGTTACCGAGCGAGTTGTCAGTCTGCATCGGATACAGTTGTGAACGATATTCACTGTGAATTAACAGAATATATACGGTGCAAACGCAAGTGAATCTACGATGTTATGACCGACACAGTACGCTCAATATACTGTCGAAATACGGTGATTTTACGCTACTGTCACGGACAATAAAATAAAAAAAAATACTTCGAACAGTTCATCTGGTCGCGCGCCCGAATCTTTACCAGTTAGGCTATCTGCGACGTTGCACGTAAAATCGATTCAGTGACATGATAAGGTGTCAAAACCAAGTCATTTTTTTTATCGTACAGATAAAAATAGCTTAAATAAAGTTATATTTTTTCTTGATAACAAATAATTTTTCCGTAATTTCGAAATTGAAGTTTTCATCTAAAAAAAAAAAAAAACTCAAATCTTTAATAAAGAATTCAAATTTTGGAATTGCGGTGAAAATATTTGACGTGCAGAAAATATGTTTATAGTTAAGTTGAAATTAAATTATAATTTAGTAATTAATTGTTGAATAAAATATCTTCCGATAAAAAAAAAAAAAAAAAAAAAAGTATTGAAATGATGGATCTCTGTTGATTGCCTATAGTCTGATTAATTTTTTGTGATTTTACTTTGAAATAAACAAAATTACAATAATTTAATATTTTTTTCAAATTTTTCATCCCAATTATTTATTGAAAATTTCTCATTTACCTATCTTTTTATACACTTTGGGTATTTTTAATGAAATAAAAAAAAATATAATATTGTCAGCTTTTTTTCATCGTTGACTAGTAAAACATTTCTGACTTACCGACATTATACGCTCGTTTCACTTGCAAACTACCGTGCAATGACAGACGATCGATCGATGATCTACGATTTTTACTTAGGTAAAAAATCGGAGAAGTCAAGTAAAAATTTGGTTTTTTGACGAGTGAAGTATGATAACTATACAGAATAAAAATCATAAAGTAACAGTGAAAATCGTTCACAGCTATACTCATCGTTCACTGTCAAACGACGGTCGTTCGACAGTCAAGTGACGGTTATTCAACGATAATTTGTCTACACTGTGAATTGACGGTGCTTTCACCGTCGTTTCACGATCATTTTACCGTGACTACGAATCCGCCAGGGTATACTCAAATATATGTACATTCAAAATATGCAAAAAAATTCAATTTTTTCAAAATTACAAATGGATATAACCTCTTAAGTTGATTATAGCGTGAGTGTGTGAGTGGTTATTTTGTTATTGTTAATAAAGATCGATCAATTTTGTTAGTTAATTATTTCTTATTTAACAGTACCTTCCTCCACTCTGGCTATCCCTAGAGATAAGCTTCCTTGCTCTGGTCCGGTGCCAGGAACCGTGAAAATAACCATGGTGGCGCCCTGAATTAATTAATTTGTTTTGTTTAATTTATTAGTTTATTGTCGATTTCTTTCATTAATTTTGGGACCAGTTGGACAGACAATAAAACCGTTACAACGGCCATTTCGATAAAAAAGAAATTAGGAAAACGGTTGACCCTGAAGGCCATCCCTGCAACTTTCCGCTAATTCCATACCTGGGCGCTTAAAGTTGTACTTATGACTTTTTTGAAATTTTTGAGCTCAAAAATACAATTTATGTGCTGTTTTGAGCTCTCCGAGATCAAAGAGATAGCTTTTCTATGCTTTTGAGCTCTTCGAGCAGGTTGGTGGCGATCAACGTGGTTTTTTATTGTTTGAAGCTGATTAGTTTTTGGAATCGATTGGTGGAGCCGTTTAAAAGTTATCAAAAAAAAACCACATTTGAAAAATTTTCTTTTCTTAGTTTTTTTAAGATTTCTCAAAATCTACTGATCCGAATCGCTCCGAATTATATTCAAAATCTAAGTTTGGTCAAGCCCTTTCAAATGACACCAACCGCAATAAAATTGGATGAGCCATTCAAAAGTTATAAGCGGTTCACATACTTTCACACACCCACATACATACAGACATAGTGACAACCTCGCGGGAGTAGTTAGGGAAGCTTCCTGTGACCTTCAAACATCGAGATCTGATGAAAACTCGATTTTTGCAAAACGGGGTAAAAACAATAACTTCCCGATTTTTGAAAATCTTCGATTTTCTTAGCGGGAAGTTCAAAATCAGGAAAACGGTTGACCTTGAAGGCCATCCCTGCAACTTCCCGCTAATTCTATACCTATGCGCTTAAAATTGCACTTATGTTTTTGAGCTCTTCGAGCTCAAAAGTCTGATAGACGTTTGATAAAACACTTTTTTTTGAATTTTCAAACCGCAATAACTTTTGAATGAATTTACCGATTTTCACCTAGTTGGCGGCATTCGACGCAGTTTTTTTTAGTCTCATAAAGAATCTTTAAGTTTGAATTGATCGAACTAGGAGTTTCGGAGTAATTCCGGAAAAACCTTTATTTCGGTTTTCTTTCAATCACCATATCTCTCGAACCAATCAACCGATCTTCACGTTCTTGGCGGCGATTGACGTGGTTTCTTGAGCTCTAAAAATTATTCTATTCTATCGAAAACGATCCAAAAAGAAATGTCGAAGTTATGTAAAAAAAATTTTCTTCGATTTTCTTTTGTTCACGATATCACTTTTCCGAATAAACCGATTTTGACCGGATTAGCGGCGATCGACGTGGTTTTTCAAGGTTAAGAGCAGATTAGTTTTTATAGTTAATCGATGAAGCCGTTTAAAAGTTATTCCAAAAAAACCACCTTCAAAAAAATTTTTTTTCTTAGTTTTTTTGAGATTTTTCAAAATTCCTCAAAATCTATCGGTCCAAATCGGTTCAATTCCTCAGGAAATCTAATTTTGAAGGAACTATTTAGAACGCCGTTTGGTAGGTTCCGATCGGTTTAGTCGTTTAAAAGTTATAAGCGTTTCACATACTCACAACACACACACACACAAATGCGATGAAAGGAAATTGCTGCTGCATGTGTCGCCTCTCTGCCGCGGCTGAAAAAGCGGAGTTTTTACAGGCCGGCGTACTGGTGGACAACAGACATAGCAGAACTTCGCAAAAGATGCCATAAGATACGTCACCGCGCAACGAGAGTTGCGAAACGCTCCCTGAACCAAGAGTTATATTCGAACGAGTATAAGCAGGCCAAAAAGGCGTTAAAACGAGCCATCAAAGCAAGTAAAGCGAGATTGTGGAAAGAGATCTGTAACGATCTCGACAAGGACATCTGGGGTAAAGTCTACCAAATTATCGCCAAACGACTTGGAAAGGCTTCACCAGAAGCGCCGGGAGAAGTAACTACGTTAAAAACAGCGAAGCAATACCCTTTACAATCAAGGAACTATAAGACGCGGCTAAGTCTCTCAATACAGGAAAGACACCTGGCCCTGATAGCATCCCGGTATCGGTGATCAAGATTGTAGCCCTGGAATACCCAGACATACTCCTGAATACTTACAATGCATGCTTGGCAACTCGCACGTTTCCCGCGGTCTGGAAGCGGCAGAGATTGGTTCTCTTAGACAAAGGTAAGGAAACCCCCGTAACACTTTCGTCGTTTAGACCACTCTGCACGGAGAAAATTAAATGATAGCAGATACTATATCTATTTATGGTAAAACATTTTACCACCAACCGGATAGTAGTGACAACTACCTGGATGATTGTATAAATCATCTAGATTTTAACAGTTACAATATTTATGGTAATTGTTACAATCATGTATGTTACTTAGAGATAGTTACAGTTATCATTTTAAATGGTTATATTTACAATCTAGATGGTTACAGTTACCATCAGAAATTGTAGTAGTTACCATCAGAGATGATTAAAGTTACCATCTAAGGTAAGTAGAATTTAAACATCAGCGCCACGCTTAAAAACG